CTCATGATGCTGGGTCTTGGGGCCGGCAAGCAGTGTGCAAAATGCGTTCCGGGATGGGGTGGCGCATTTTGGAGGCAGGACCGGCTGACGCTCATGATGCTGGGTCTTGGGGCCGCAAGCAGTGTGCAAAATGCGTTCCGGGATGGGGTGGCGCATTTTGGAGGCAGGACTGGCTGACGCTCATGATGCTGGGTCTTGGGGGCTTTGGCAAGCAGTGTCCAACCAGGACGGGGTAGCGCATTTTGGAGGCAGGACTGGCTCCCGATGCTGGGTCTTCGGGCCTTCTTAAACTTCGGGCCTTCTTAAACCCTTCCAAGCAGTGTCCAAAAATGCGGTTCGGGACGGGGTAGGGCATTTTGCAGGCAGCGCCGGCTGGCGCTCTTGATGCTGGGTCTATGAGGATCTTTAGGAGAAACGTTTTTCGCGGAGAAGTGCAAGGCGGGAGTGCGAGGGGGGACGGAGGAGGTCCGGAGGGGGCGCGCAGGTCGACGCAGTGAGAGTCAGTAGAAGTGCGCCCGAGCATTCAGGGGGTATCGCAGTAGGGATAATGTGGGCCGGCTGCGGGCGGGGTATGGGTGAGGCTGACAAGATGGCATCTGGTCAACGTTCTCAGCCTCCGGCTGCAACCCATTCGGTCTTGATTGTGCTCCGGATTGTTTTTGAGTTCCTGGCTTGACGTTGTTTTTGCAAAGCCACAAGATGCCACAAACATACCCAAGCAGTTTTGCAGGCTGTCGAATGGGAAGCCGGCCAATCTTTGTCCAAGACTGTGTGCGTGCACGCGAGGGTGAGGAAGAGAGGACAGCTTTCAACACAAAAACAGCGTGCGTGTCAAAGTGGTCTAGCTTGAGTTCGACACTCCTAAGCAGCAAATGCCCATCAGGAAAGTTCTGCATTTCTCTCAACGCACTCAGCTCAGCTTGGCTTCTTGGATATGGCTGTACAGGCATGGGTGGGGGAGCACAGATACTCCGCAAGTGCGATCGAGGCTCCGGCCGATGGTTTATCTCCAGCGTCAGTCTAAGCGCACTGGAGGCCTTGCCTAGTCCGCTTTTGCCTGTTGGCCCACGTGTGAGTTGCTGTGTGAGGTGGAGCAAGTGAGCACCTCCTCTGATCTTGACCAGATGGATCTGTCGCCGCATTGGCACAGTGCTACAACCTTGGCCAGGCAGCTCTGCCACCACTGTGACAAGCATACGGCTCGGTCGACTTGAATTCGCATTAGAAATCGACCCTTCCGCAGTCCATGTAGCCTCAGAGCTTTCCTTGCGGCCATGGACACGCTACAAATCAGGGTATGTCTTGGCGCTGATGTGGTAGATACAATCTGAAACCTGTCCGCAGTATGGATAGAGTCTGTGAGCTGAATCCGCATCTACGGAGACAAGATGAAATCGGTCACTTGCACGCCTTGCGCCGTTGAGTTGCTTCGTAGAGTGGAGCTTTACAGATAGTATTGAGTATTAAGGCAATACCGACTCCATTTGTGCACTTCTTGAGGTGTGCATTAGTTTGCAAGCGAGGTGTGAGAACCGACGAGGTTCGTTCGCATCCCGTTGTTGCTTTCGAAGTCATTTGTTTCGTGGCTGCACGACGTCGTTGTTTCCGGTGCCAATTTTCACCATGGGTGGCGGACTTGAGGTCAGAGAGCACAGCAGGCCGTGGGCAACAAGGCCTGATCAGCTTGTTGGGGTCCACTTGCATATGCTGCATGATCCTGTAGGCGATCAAGCGCATCTCTTATCTTGACGAGTCTCGCCTGAGAATCCTCAGAGTTTCCTGAGAGCAGAGGGTACTTGAGTCATGAGTGCAAGTAACCCAAGATGACTGTGCGACAGGATGAAGGTGATATCTGCACCCTTGCTGCACCATCCATTTCTGACGCATTAGATTTGTGCAGAAATGGAGCCGTCTACTCAGCAAGTCGATCTGGGCAACCCCCCATACCCAATGTCTGCCATTGGAAGAATTGACCCTTCCAAGATCATGGAGCTGCGAGTCATGCTGGAGGCGGCTTGGTGATGTAGCCAATGCTAGCCATATCTGTGTTGCTTTTCTCCTGAATCCGGCAGCCGGCAGCAGCCAGCTGCTCGAGTTGACACTGGCAGGATGACCAGCCCCGAGCCAGCTGCTCGCGGCCAGTTCTTCGGCGGCACTGGAACTTCTGTAAGGCATGAAAGCCCTGATGGCAGCTTCCTTATGCACTGAGGACACCGGAGCCGAAGCTTTCAGTGAGGATGTTTGCTTGAGGCACAGCCATCTGAAGGTCTCCGCAGATGTTCTCAAAGATGGCGTGAAGGCGTGGGATATCAATCAGTCTGCATCTTGTGGAGCATATCCGGCATATCCAGTAGAGCTGTGAACGGCAAGCCTGTCTTGCCAGGCGTTTATCGACAAAGGCTGCGTGTACAGGAGCCTTGTCTACCACAAATGAGGGGCTGCAATTTCTTGAGGTCTTGGTTGCCAACAGCCAAGGAGCATTCCCCCGCAGCTCGAAGGAGCCACATTCTTCAGATCGCAGTACATAGTTCCCGAAGGCACTGAATTTCTGGTGCAGGCGCCCAATCTTGAAAGTAGCCTGCTATGCGGACAGTGACAAGATTTGCCCAGGCCCCTGCAGGATCTACCATCTACGTGTTTAGCGAGGACGGGCGCAGTTCGTGCAGTTCGTGCAAAGCTGTGGGGAGCAACCAGTAACAACAAACGGGTTCCTCGAGTCAGGCCCACCGCGACGGTGGCTTCCCATCACTTGGCTGGCAGCAAGAAGATTCAAGACGCTTCCACTGGCAAGATGCAGATGGCCGCACGGCGTCATTGGTAGCACTTAGGGTGTGCCCATATTGTGCGGAGTTCATCTACCTTTCAATCGAACAGGCAGGGGCTACTCGCTCCATCTGTGGAAACACATTCATTCCGGAGCTGATGTGACAATACCAGTAACGAGTTCCTTGGTTGGCGGAGTTGCTGTGCAGGCAGGACAGTAGTCAAGTAGCATAGATAGCTTCGTCGTGTCGGTTGTCGACCCACCATGACCCACCGCCCACCGCCTGCTAGATCCTGCTTCCTCATGCTTCCGCAGGCCAGCCGCGGATCTTGCAAAGCTGAGTTGCTTCTGGACAAGCTGCATCAAATGTATGCTGGCAACATCAGGCCGGCTTTGCAAGTCTTGGCGCAAGCTGTCCTGCACTGGTTCGGCGAGATGCAAACACTGCCAAGCGAGTGCATGATATTCCTCTCCCCGCTGCACTCACTGGCAAACGGAAGCTTCAGCGAGGACCAGCTCTACCCATATGCACAGCTTGCAGTGGAGGCATACGAAAGCCTTGAATCCGCCGTCAAGAGTGACCTCCTGCAGAGGCTGCAAGGGTTGGCCAAAACGTTACCAGGTCACATCTCCACAGCTTCTCAGCAAGTCCACCGCGGAGTTGCCTGTGATGGATGCGATCAAGCCCCGCTCCGTGGCCGACGCTTCAAGTGTAAAGTCTGCTCGGACTACGACCTGTGCGAGACATGTGCTGGGCCTAGTTGTGTTGCAAGCTAAGCCAGCCCAAAGCCACTGCGCTCGGCTTTGTTAGGCTTGCTCATGAGGATGCAGAATATTGCACTTGCTGTCTCTATCTATTTCATAGACGGATTCAGGTCTTGAGAAAGATTGTCATCCAGGACATGAGTTTGAGGAAGTGCCAGAAAGTGAAGCTCCTGGAAACTGCCGTGCAGTGTACCAACCAGAGATAATCTGCGACGGTTGCAACATGCATCCGCTGGAAGAGTCGAATCGATACAAGTGCACTGTTTGCGCAGACTACGACCTCTGCAAAAGCTGCTACAACTCCAGGCAGCAGATCCATCCACAGCATGAGGACTGGATTCACCAAGGACCGCGAGCTGAAAAAACAGTTTAATGACCATGTCCTGGACATTTACTTGACAACTGGCATGTAAGCGCAATTGCTACAAGTAATACCCTCACCCTGTGTTTTGGTTTAGGGTGTTTCTAGCTTCCCTGAAAAAATGGGTCCCACTCGTAAGATTGTTCGTCCGTGGCTGAGACAGTGGGCGGCCATGGCCAAGGGATTGAATATTGTTTTTTCATCCCGCGTAGGCAGAGCGTGATTCAATTACACGCTCCCATTCACGTTGGCTTCCGAGCAATGGGCCCAGACCAACTCACCAGACTTCCCACCCTTTGAAGAGCCCACACCCTCATTGAACAAAGACAGGAGACAGTGGGCGTGTGAAGCTGTCCTCACCTTCGTTTTGGGTACACAACACGGTTGGGCTTATGTTGTTGAAGACATCTCAAGACCAAACCCTGGGTAAACATGGTTTCAGGCATGGCGAGCAATACGTATTTTGCGATACTGGTGCTTTTCTGATAGAGGACATATTCCCTGCCAAGACTGAGAGGTAACAAAGCACACGCGTGTTGGCCGGCGTCCCCCGGCCTGCCAAGCTATGATGCCGTCCATGTTCGAGAGCATTTGACCATCACAACACCCGTGCCACGTTAATATTACCATCCATGTTCGAGAGCATCCGAAAACCGAAGCATCCATGCCCAAACCATGACAATGTCTTTTCCCCAATGGTCCAAGCGACGTCCCATTAGTGCAAGGGCTTGATGAGTTCTGATTTAAAGACAGTGGCCCCATTAGTCCAAGATCTGCCGAATTCGTCCAAGGGTGTGAGGGGTTCTGATTCAACTTTATCTCAGCTGTCCCATTAGGCCCAGGTATGCCCCATTAGTCCAGGGATCGTTTCCAGTAGTCCAAGCAACACCCATTTGATAATCGCCACATTAGACCAGGCTACGCCCCATTGCTCCAAGGATCCTTTCCGCTAGTCCAAGCTACACCCCAAGAGTCCAAGGGTGTCTGGAGTTTTTTTGTAGTCAACCCGTTTGTCCATGGTTCAAAATGATAATGTTAGTGTCACCGCAGCATGCGTTTTCCAGGAGCATTCGAGATCATCCGATCACCACAGTATCCATGCCCAAGCAAGATGTCCTCCATATTCATGATTATCGAATCTCCTGAGCTTCCATGTCACAGGGTATGCGTTCATTCTGCACTGTAGAAGCGAGGGCCACGGTGCGGCACCTAAAGATAACGACAAGCAGGCGTATCTGTTTCTGTGCCTGACAAATTCTTGTCTTGATTTACCATAGATTTTTTCTGACAAGGAAGGCCTGCACTTCTGCACTTGCATGTCTGGGAAGCATCTGGGCACTCAGGCTCCGGGGGAAGGGGTCTGTTGTGTCGAAAACACAGTGCTAGCAGCTGCCAGCATGCATGCAGCTTCTAGTGGCGCTGGCAGAACGCGGGCGGTGACCTGTTCAAAACAGGCGGTCACCTGAAGAACTTCAGCAAGGTCAAGAAGACAGAGACCGCCATGTCCGGAAATGCCACAACAACATTAGATTCGGGTCCGGTGAAAACGTGCATTTTTTGCATTGTGAACCCGAAGTATTGTAAACATGTGTAAACACCAAGCACTTACGTGCCTTGCACATCAGTTATCCTTACGCCGAAATAGTGCCAAAACCGCACGTTTGGCCACTTCTGAAAACCGAGCACGTTTTTTTTAGGGCCCTCGAAATCCTTTGAATTTAGACGAACCTGAGGTGACAACAGCATTATCGCCTGACTCGCAGGACAATAAGTCATGCAGCAGGATGTTTGTGCAAATCACTCGAGGCACCCCAGATGCAGCTGCAAGAAACTTGTCACAGCCTTGCATGTAACGCTAAAAACTTTCTGGCTGCACAAAACTGGCACAGAAATCTCCCAACGGAGGGGGTCTTCAACTTGTGTAGTTCTCGCATTCGGCTGAACGAAAATCAGGGGCTCGTTTTGGGTTCCTTTCTTGAGTTGCTACAAGCACAGCATGTTTCTTGAATCCTGCAGATTCTTTGGGTTATCAGTTCCGTATAGCTCCGAGCTGAGGACTATTGCGACTGTACCTTCAGGGCATTTCATAAGTCTTACCTGCCTGACCGGCGCGCCGCAGGTTTTGTTGAAGCTTCTGTATTGCGTTCTGTTTGGCAGGCTTTGGGGGCGCAGGCACAGCTGCTGGCCCAGAGAGGTTCTTCTTAATTCTGGTAGCGGAGGAAGCAGAAAACTTTCCGCCCATGGCATGGAGGATCTCATCCGCTGCAACTCCCCTGCTTGACTGTGCGAAGAAAACTATACGCGGCGGACTGTGCGGATGGGGTGCCTGGCTGCTATGAAGACTGATGGGCACCTTAAAATGAGGCCTTTGAGTTTACTGGTCATGAGCGCCGTGGGTATGCCATCCGTTGTAAAGCCGCCTACGTACCCGAACCTCGCAACGAACTGCAAGCAGGTTCATTTCACAAGCTTCCTACGGAACACGCCATCCAGACTCTAAAGCAAATCCCGAAACAGCTTTCATGGCCGGGATGTTGCCAGGCGTGTGCTTCCACCCGATGTCGGCCAGAGATATGTCGAAACCAAGCTGCTGGTTAACAAAGGAAAGCTTGCCTCCGCATGTATTCATATTTGGGGCAAGCTTCTATTTTAAAGCGGCATTCCACACGCCCTCACTCACACGTCTGCCTTGTGAAATGCAGTTCAAAAAGTAATTCACACAGTCCAAACCAACCGAATGCCATCATGGCCCAATCGCAGAGTATCCAACCGCCGAGTTTCCCTGGGGTGCCCGACCGCAGCGTATCCCTGCAGTGCCCAGCCGCAGAATTTCCCAACAGTGCCCAAGAGGGCATATCGTTTCAGTGCCACAGCGCCCAACCGCAATTCCCATGCCAAACCACAGTATCCCTGCACTGCCCAATCGCGGAGTATCCCAGCATTGCCCAGCTGCAGAGCATCCCTGCAGTGCCTAACCAGTGCCTAACTGAGGAGAGTATCCCTGCAGTGCCCCACCGCAGAGTAATCGGCATTGCGCAACCGCAGTGTATCCCGGCAGTGCCCAACTGCAGAGTATGCCTGCAGTGCCCGACTGCAGAGCATCCAGACATTGCGCAACCGCAGAGTATCCCTGCAGTGCCCAAGCACGGAGTATCCCTGCAGTGCCCAACCGCAGAATGTCCCGGCATTGCACAGACCGCCGAGTATCCCTGCAGCACCCAACCGCAGAGTGTGCCTGCAGCGCCGAAACGCAGAGTATCCCGGCAGTGCCCAACCGCAGAGTGTGCCTGCAGCGCCCAACCGCAGAGTGTCCTTGCAAAGCCAAACCGGTCTCCCAGCATGATGTCCCATGCATCAAAGAAACCACGGCTGTGCGAGGATTGGATTTTTCATAGCCACGCTCTGCGGTTGGGTTGGGCGCTGCAGGGACACTCTGCACTGCCGGGATACTCTGCGTTTCGGCGCTCGGTTTGATTGTTTCCGGGTTGCTGACATCCTGGAAAACCGGATCCCTTGTGGTTTACTTGGTAGTTATGCTGGTAGACTCATTTCCTGGCATCCCTGTTTCCTATCTTTATGAGGGACAAGTGAGAGGATAGGCCACTGAGAGGGAACGACAACGGAAGCGCTGGGGAATGACGAAAGTATGGCAGCATTCGTGACAAGTTGAGCGGATAAAAAAGATACATTCTCGCAAATAACCCATGACCTATTCACGGGATAGTGTAGTGTAGTGAATCTTGTGGTGTTTTTGCACATCAAGCTCTCGTGAATTCTCGTGATTTATGTGACGCGCCTGCATCACCTCATCACAAGCATGATTCCGCACAGGAGGAGGAAATAGGAGGAAGGGAAGTTCTGCGAGCCGAATGAAGGAATCAACTATAGATGTCCTAGTGATGTCCTCGACTTGAGACTCCCGGGTCCTGCTCTTGGAAGGGAACGAGAGCACTTTCTACATGAGCTCAATCTGCTCGGGAAATCTCGGGAAAGTATCTGGACTAGACGACGTCAGTTCCTGAACTCGGAAAAGGTGCGGAGGAGATTTCAATAAATTGGCAGACCAAATCTGCCGCTTGATGAGGGCATGACATGCATACGAACGATTCATTCGAGCATGGCCTCCGTTTGACGTACGTCCCTAAGCCGCTTAATACGAGGGTCTGGAACGCGCCCTTGATCCGGAGGGTTTGGAACGGGGTGGAGCTCTGTATCGAGATCTGGATCGGGATGTCCGTTTCCCCTTGTTCAGGGAAGCCCCACTTCATGCTTGTCTTGTTTCAGGCTATACTGTTGTATGTTTTGCAGCAAGTTGTCTTCTGCATAGCCCCTTGCTTCAGAACAGAAGGGGTGTCGACACTAAAGCATGTAGTTCCAAATGTGGAGCAGCAGCGTCGTTTAAGCCGTGGTTGTTGCACGTGAGGCATGGGAAGGCCGCATATAGACAGGACGTACGTTAGTTACGTCAGTGCCCACGACTTGTTGCATTGACCTTTCTGCAATCTAGGGTTGAACGAGGCTCACGAATGGTGGAAGCTTCCACCATCCCAGAGGTCAAAGAGTTGGACGCAAAGGCTGGGGCGAGCTTGGCGTACAAAAGCACTGCGCCACCTCAGCGAGTTGCAGATAGTTGCAGTAGGTCAGCATGGCAGCTATGGCTGCACTGCTGCAGCACAGTGATCCCGCGGTGCGAGCAGCGGTGCGAGCCGCTGCCAGCAGCGCTTCGGCTGCTGTGAGCAGCTCTGAGCAGGCGCGTGGCAGCCATGTGTAGCTATGTCAACGTGTCTCCCATGGATGATTTCAATCAAGCCCGGTCGGTGACGATGCTTTCCAGTTGTCAGCAGGACTCTGCGTCCGACATCAGCGACGGCTGGGAGAGGTGCACTGCAGTGCATAGTTTCGTCTGGCATTCAAATCGAGTATGATGCGGAGGCTGGAGAGCGTAGATCTTGATGAAGACGCTGTTGAGGACCTCTATTCGGACTTGAGTCAATGGATTTCGAGATGTTGTCTTCTGAAGGCAGATGGCAAAAGCCTTGTGTCCGCCAAGGCAGATGTCTTTTTGCAACATCTGCAAAGCCCAATACACAGCATATGAAAACACCGACAAGGTCATTCATGCAACGGTGTTTGCCAACACTGGCCTTGTGCACAATTTGAACCTTGACATGCTTCACCATGGCTACAAGGCAATGGCCCGTCTGTCTGCTCATGAACATGGCATAAGCATGATCTTGCTTCATGTCGTCCAAGTGCTTATGAGACTCGACTTGCACACAGACCTAAACTTGGGCTTCAGGGTTCTAGTTTGCATAACAACTTGTACCTGACAAGCAGTCGCCAGGCTTCACGTTTGGCTCACTTGGAGATTAACCATGCGCTGGAGTGCAAAGCTGTTGCTTCCAGCTTAGCACTATCACAATTCAGTCTCCAAGCAATGTTGGCCCGGAGTAGCACCGTTGTGAATGGTTACAAGGTGAAAGCTGTGGTCGTCAACGATGGAACAGAGCCTTGGCCGGAGGCCAGCAGATCATCCATGTTCCTGCTGGAAGCCGTGAGGGCTGGGCTATGAATTCCCGAAGGCGTCGCTCTTGAAGCTCAGTGAGGGCCTATCGTGGGGACTTCACGAATTTCCCCTTGGTCCAGTTCCGCCCGGAGAGACGGTGAGAGACCAGCACCAGCATTTGTGCAGTCACCTGGAAATGGGTTGTTTGCAGGTTGAGCTGGTACTGGACCTGTGCTTGCTTCCTGGCCATCTCGGTGATCATGTGGTCTCAGCGTGGTCTATGCTTGATTCCTCGGGCAACGCGTTTGCACCACCAATGGTTGTTGAGGTGACGCCTCTCGACAGCAACGCAAATCCAAATCAAGTTTTGTGCAGCCTCTGAGGATCCGTGAAGTTTAGATGACCTGTCAAACATACTTGCCCCCTCTGGGACGGGCATTGCAGAGAAGCGCTGCTGAGGCGAACGTAGAGCCTGCCAACCGGATGAGCTTCCTGCAGCTGGTCGCATGAGTCGAAATGTACAGAGGCTTAGCGGTGCCCGCTGTTTCGAGTACAGCCACCAAATGAAGCTGCTGGCCACGGCCGTTTTCACCTGAAGTTGACTGGCGGATCGCTCACTGTAAGAACACCTTGGAGTTGGGACAAGTGTTGCGCATTGCAAGAAACAGCCGCAAGTGGCCCAATAGCCCAATAGCCTGGTGCGCAGGAGCCCTGTGGCCTGGACTTCGTCGTGCAATCCTCAAAATGACACAAAAGGGTTGCCCTCCGCAATCATTCTCAGCCTGACAGGTCTCCGGCATCCTTGTGGCAGCCTCACCGCGAAAGTCAAGAAGCATAGACAGGAACAGCACAACGTTCAATTTGAGGCCGCGAGAGCCCTGGTCCATTGTTAAGCTATTGCCGACCTGCACTTAGATGCATGCAGTTGTGTGCCAAGCTTGATCGTCGCACATGCTCATGCGCTCCATCAGGACGCGGCTCCAGTTTGGCGTTACTGAAAGGAGGCGGAGGGTTGCCGGGCCCTCAAGCTAAGCGCTGCCACATTCCGAAGAAGGGAACGCGTGTTTGACCTGAGGCATTGAAGCTGCCTGACAGCGATGAGGCCTCCGCTGAAGACACTGCTGCCAAAGCCTAGGTGCCTAGATGTGGCTAGGTCGGGTCATGTCAGAACTCAGCTGAGCGCCACCACGGGGCTGCCTTTCAGGTCACTTTCGTTCCATGCCAAGATTTGCAAGTTGGAGAGGGACCTGCTAGACAGGCGTCCTGCTGTTTTGTTCCTCGTGTATCAGCAAAACGAGAACGACATTTTGCAGGCATCTCGCAGCGTCGGGCGATCATCTGTGCAGCTCCGAAACTGCCTGAGATTGCAAGGCAAACTTCTTCGTCTTGACTTCAGGCTATGTCTCGCAGCTCGTCCGTCGGCAGCCCGGGAGCAGATCCTGATGCTGATGTATCTGGCACTGCGCAAGTCTGTGGAACCGAGCTTCAGGCAGGTCTTGGGTGAGATTGATGCTGCGGCTCGAATAATGCTGCTGGTTGTGTCAGGGTGCGGACTTTGTCCTGTGCCTTCACTTGAAAGATCTCAGCGGTGGCACAGAGAACTTCGGTGCCGCAGTCTGGATGACAGGGGAGAGGGCATGAGCTTGAGCTGCATGACGTCTTATGCGCGCTCGCTGCAGCAGTCCTCTTCCCCCAGGGCAAAAACTTCAATGATTGCCAGGTCTCAGTGGGGACTACGTGCGGTCCGATCAGCTGTACGGAGACCGACCAGTCTTCATCAAGGACTTGGCCTTCATCAACGAAGTAAGGCTGATCATGGCTGATCTCAAGTTTCTGTTCAGGCTCCCCTCCGACAACGTCAAGGTGTCTTACCCTGCATTTGCTTCGCAACTGGTGGGATGCCAATGGCATGGGATAGCAACCCTAGCCGCATACTGCAGTCGGCGCTTTGTGAGTTGCAGGGACCCCATGCATAAGCTAGAGGTGGGCTGGAGCCTGATGATAAGCTGGGCCAGGCGCAATGACGCTTCTCCAGGTTGTACAAGTAGCAAGCAACCAAACGTTGCGCAGCGGCAGGAGCGACAGCTATTCTTCTTCTATGACGACATTCGCCATCGATGGCAGGCAGAATGATAGCACCGATAGCAGCATCGAAAGGCGTACATTCACATACCCGGAGGTTGCGCCGGAAGTGGGCGCCAAGGGCTTGAGCGTCCTCGCTCGCAGCCCTGTGGGATGGGATGAGGCCCACTCCAAAAAACATAGAACACCAAACTAAGAAGAAGATACAGAGAATGGGGATTTGTTCCTGTTGTTTTGATGCTGGTGGTGGGAAGAGACGCGATTTTGTCCACCACTTCGCGTGGCAGGAGAATTTTTCACAACTTGGTGCATAGCAGGAACAACAGGTTTTCCAGCAAGAACGTGTATGTCTCACAGTAACAGCATTCAAGCAAAGCAAAGGACGCGCATACAATTCGTAATGTTGCCCCCTTATATGATAGGGGTCCCCCCCCTGAAGAATTAGTATTCCTTTTTAATGGTTCGGCCCCGCCTAAACTTGTCGCGCAATTAAAATCCATAAGCACCTGGAATTTCGGTAGGTGCCTTGAAGCTGGTATTCGATTTCGTATTAGTG